CTACTACTACTACTACTACGACACTACGACTACTACGCTACTACTACGACTACTACTACGACTACTACTACGACTACTACTACTACTACTACTACTACTACTACTACTACTGCTACTGCTACTGCTACTGCTACTGCTACTGCTACTACTGCTACTACGACGATTACGACTACGACTACTATCATGACGACGACGGCGACTATTACTACGACTACTACGACTACTGCTACGACTAGCTGTTCCTCCCACACCGGCCCCTCTCCATCATCATCATCATCATCATCATCATCATCATCATCATCATCATCATCATCATCATCATCATCATCATCCACAACAGCATCAACAACAACATCATCCTGAGCATCTCCCCCAAGGTCCTTCATGCTGCGACATGCGGGGGAACAGTTTATTATCCTCCCTGGACCCCGAACTTCATTATCCACACCCTGTGAAACTCAGGGGCATAGGGTTAGTGAGATCGAAGGGTAGGGGAGGGAAGGGAAGGGAAGGGAAGGGAAGGGAACGGAAGGAGGATGAGGAGGAAGAGGAGGCAGGAGGAGGAGGCAAAAGGAGGCGGCAGGAGGAGGCAGCAGGAGGCGGGAGGCAAGGAGCGGGGGGAGGAGCCGCTTCTCCTCCTCGAGCTAAGGGGGAGGGGGAGGGGGCGCCGCAGCTTGGGCTCCTTGAGCGCCCACGGGCTGGCGTCGGGGACCCCGTCGTCGCGCCCGCACTCACTGTGGAGGCGCAGGGCGGCGCAGACTCTCCTTGGGAAGGGTTCGAGGCTCGAAGAGAAGATGTGGGAAAGGGACGAAAGAAATATGAACGCATGAAAACCGCCCCCCGCCCCCCCCCATGAGGAACCTCAGACCAACTGGACCGCGCGCGCGCGCCCCCCCCTCGGCGGCGGCTGGCAGTGGCCTCGCGCACGCGGCGCCCACACCTACGCACGTGCGCCATGCGTGCAAAACGCTGACATCTGAAACCGAGGAGGAGGAGGAGGAGGAGGAGGAGGAGGAGGAGGAGGAGGAGGAGGAGGAGGAGGAGGAGGGGACCGGGGGTCGGTTTCCCAGTTCCTGGGAAAGAGATGAAGCAACCACGACGCACGGAGCACGAGCGCCCCCCGCGCACGGGCACCGTCTGGGGGGTGCGCCGGTGCGGCACCGGAGCGCCAGGATGGTGGACGTGTCGTGCGTCCCGCTCGTGCGCGGTACGCCGCGTAAGCTGGCGGGGGGGGGGCCAGGGGAGCAGGTTCGAGGCTCGAGGTGTTCGGGCTTCTTCGCTCAGTTGCCGAAGGTTGCTCAGCCTCGGGATGCTCTGCAGCAGCCTCGGGAAGGGGGGGGGACAAGGGAGGGCAGGGGAGAAGGTTCGAGGTTCGAGGTTGTCAGGTGCTTTCGTGATGCTCCCACAGGCTTTCCAGCCTCAGGGTGCTTTCCAGCAGCTGCGCCTCGCCGAGAGCGTTCCGGGGGTGCCCGAATCGTCCCGAATGGCCGCCAGAGACCAGAGTGATGGGCCGAGAACCAGCCCCCATCCCTTCCAGTTTCCCCCATCCGTTCCCAACCAGCGGTTTTATCCTCGATTTCGGCCCCTGGGGGGCGCTTTCGAACCCCAGGGCCATCAAACATAGATCTGGGACGGAGGACTACGCCTGGAGGGGTCGTGACCCTGCACTGGGACGACACACGACACACACACACACACACACACATCGTCGGACGTCAGAGTTGGAAGGCAGAAGAGCCACCCTCACTGTACGCACCCAATACAGACGAAGGGACCGAACAGGGCAGGGCTGCTCGGTAAACGCCCAGGGCCATCTGGCAAACGCCAGAGGTGTGGAAGTCGGTACGGTCTTCTCCTCCCCTGGATGGCTCCTGTACACGAGGCCGCGGGTCTTCAGCGCCCTCCTGGCGGTGCTGTTCAGGCCGCCTTCCTCGGGAGGGGTGGGAGGGGATACGATTGGCACGTACGATCAGATATCTTGCGAATCCTAAGAAATGTTGGGGCACAGTGCCCGTCGAACTTTGAGCATCTTGGTGTGCTTCTCGACCCCTCGAAGGCGAGGCCGATCTGGAACGGCCAAAGTCGGGATTCCCCTCCGCAGTGAAAGCACGGGGCCGCTCGCAAGGCAAGCCGGAGGGCGGCGGTCTCCCAGCTCGGCCGCCGACTGCGGCAAGTCTAGCTCCAATGCCGTATGTGAAAGTTTGCTGCAGCTTGAAAGTTCGCGGCTCGATCGTAGCCGAGGACGACCGATCCGCCCTGTGTGTGGGCATCTGGCTGGGCCTCGGCACATTCTGGAAGACGTAGCTGCGCTGGACTGCGTGGCGCGGCGTCCAGGACTTCTACCCGGAAGAACTTGGAATGGCTCGAGCCGTAGACTCTGCCCAGGGCAGGACGAGCAGGCCCCCCCTCGCTGCGAGAAGAGATCACCGCGGGAGGCAGTTGGCCCGCCTCTGCCTCCGGGGCTCTCGCTGGGCCCCAGGGCCATCAACAGAAGCGGCTCGCGAGGCGAAGCCAGTCCGGGGAAGATGGGCCAGAGACCTTCAGGGCTCCGTCCGATGCGAGAAGCCTCTGCGTCGGAGTTTGGGAAGACCGTCGGGGTCACTCGATTCGTTTCCCAGCGGGGAAGATGGGCCAAAGACCTTCAGGACATTCCTCCGATGCGGGAAGCCTCTACGTCCGAGTTTGGGAAGGCTATTGGCGTCACTCCATTCGGTTCCCCGCGGTCTCCTGCAAGAAGCTGCCCGGGAGGCTGAAGTTGTACGGGAAGCGGCCCTCCATGGTGGCGACGTCGCGGGCAATGATGCCCACGCCACTGCCTCTGAGCGAGCAGAACGGCCTCTCTTTGCTCAGCTGGTCTCGGGGAAGGATAGGGCCATCGATCTGATACGTTGCTCGCTGCTTCTGGTGTTGCTCGTGTCTGACAGTGCTAGTTCATGCTTCTTGATCCAAAGGCTCGAACATGGGGAAGACGCGACACGAAGCAGCTCGCCCCTGTGCGCGCGAGAGAACAACATGGAACATGTTGCAAAACCATCGAGGGTCAGAAGCAAGGGTCGTGCACGTATCCGAGACGGCCACCACCCTCTCACCTCGACAGGCGCTACGGTCGGGAACTTTTAGTTAGCGTGTCGCTCCGCCAGGCCTGGCCCACCACGCTTCGTCGCGACACGCTACCCAGATATCGGTCCCCAGGCGTCCGCGCCCCGAGCTCTTCCGAGCCTCCCGCCCCGCGGAGCGGAGCGACACGCTGTCCGCTCGCAGGGCAGAGCGTGTCGCCGGGGCCGCCGCCGCGACGCGCTACGCAAAAGTTCCCGCCCCAGCTGACGTCGCCAGCGCGAGGCCCCCGGGACGCCACGAGAGAGAGGCCGGCCACCGGAGGGGGCCCGCTCTGCCCAGTGGAGCGCGGCCAGTGCTCCCCGCTGCACCGCGCCGAGGCTGGCTGGGGCTGCCGACCACCGCCCCTCCTCCTCCTCCTCCTCCTCCTCTTCCTCCTCCTCCTCCTCCTCCTCCTCCTCCTCCTCCTCCTCCTCCTCCTCCTCCTCCGCCTCCTCCTCCTCCTCCTCCTCCACCCTCCTCCTCCTCCTCCTCCTCCTCCTCCTCCTCCTCCTCCTCCTCCTCCTCCTCCTCCTCCTCCTCCTCCTCCTCCTCCTCCTCCTCCTCCTCCTCCTCCTCCTCCTCCTCCTCCAGGCCGCCCTCCGCACCGGCCCTCCTCCGCAGACCCCGCCGCCAGGGCGCAGCCAGGGCGCAGCCAGGGCGCAGCCAGGGCGCAGCCAGGGCGCAGCCAGGGCGCAGCCAGGGCGCAGCCGCGGCGGCAGTGGCAGCGCGGCTCGCGGCTCGGCTCGGAGCTCGCCCGAACTAGAGACCGAGCGGGCGCGGGAACCCTGGAGCGCAACGCGTGCAAAGCGCCCCTCGAGGCCTGGAGAGGAGCCCCGCAAGGACCAGGCGCCCTTCGAGGCCTTGAGAGGAACCCCGCAAGGACCCTTGTAAGGCGCCCAGCGGGGAGCGGAAAGGAGGTCCGCAAGGATCCTTGCAAGACGTCCACTGAGGCCTGCCGAGGAGCCCCGCAAGGACCCTTGCAAGACGTCCACCGAGGCCTGCCGAGGAGGCCCGCAAGGATCCTTGCAAGACGTCCACCGAGGCCTGCCGAGGAGGCCCGCAAGGACCCTTGCAAGACGTCCTTCGAGGCCTGCAGAGGAGGCCCGCAAGGATCCCTGCACGGGTGCTGCGACCAACACCCCAGACATCCGCCGAGCTCTTTTTTCTTTCGCCCACGGCCGCAGAAGCCCCGACCGCGCCCCCGGGGGCAGCTCCTCGCCCCAGATCCATCCTGGACGGCCCCGGGGCCCCCAAACGGCCCCCGAGGGACGAAATCGAGGGGGGGGGGGGGGGCCCAGGGCCCCAAAACGGCCCCCGAGGGACGAAATCGAGGGGGGGGGGGGACGCGAAACGAAAACGAGGCAGCAAACGCAAGAGCAACAGAAAGCAAAAGGTCCGCCCGACGACACGGAGCGCACCGCCGGAGGCCCCGGGACCCTCGGGAGCCCGACGCCCCGCGCGGCGCAGCGCGAGGGGGCGCCGAGGGGGCGCCGAGGGCGCCGAGGGGGCGCCGAAGGCGCCGAGGGCGCCGAGGCCGCCGAGGGCGCCGAGGCCGCCGAGGGCGCCGAGGCCGCCGAGGGCGCCGAGGGCGCCGAGGGCGCCGAGGCCGCCGAGGGCGCCGAGGGCGCCGAGGCCGCCGAAGGCGCCGAGGCCCTCGGGGCTGCGCGCGGCTCGCGGCGGTGGCGCGCCCGGGGTCCGCACGCCGCCGCGCGCCCTGCCGCGGCCGGCGCGGCGGCGCGCCCGGAGGTCCGCCAGGCCGCCCGCGCACGGAGGGCCCTGGGGCGAGCGCGCGCCTGCGGGGGCCTCGGCCACGTCCACAGCAGGGCTGAGCCTAAGCGGTGCTTGTCGTTTTCGTTTTGTTGTGTTCGCTGTTCCTCGTTCTGTCTTCCCTCCGCCTCTCTGCCGCAGAACGGAGTCGAAGCGAAAACGGCCCACGAGATCGCCAAAACACCGTTCAGGTCCAGCCCTGGTCCACAGGTGCGCAACCTGCTCTCTGATCCCCCCGTCGCGGCGGCCAGCCTGGGGGGGGGCGAGAGGGGGCGGGCCTCCTTCTCAGGAGGCCTGGGAGCCCCCCGGCCGTCCGAGAGGTTCTCGAGGCCTTCCCTGGAGACGCCCAAAAAACTGCTCGGAAGGCCTGAGGGCTTCTGAGAAGCCCCGCCGCCTTCTGGGAGGAGGAGGAGGAGGAGGAGGAGGAGGAGGAGGAGGAGAGGAGGAGGGAGGAGGAGGAGAGGAGGAGAGGAGGAGGAGGAGGAGGGGGAGGAGGAGGGGGGAGGAGGGGGAGAAGGGGGAGGAGGAGGGGGAGGAGGAGAGGAGGAGGGGGAGGAGGAGGAGGAGGAGGAGGAGGAGGAGGAGGAGAGGAGGAGGAGGAGGGAGGAGGAGGAGGAGGAGGAGGAGGAAGGAGGAGGGGAGGAGGAGGAGGAGGAGGAGGAGGAGGAGGAGGAGGAGGAGGGGAGGAGGAGGAGGAGGAGGAGGAGAGGAGGACGGGGAGGAGGGGAGGAGGAGGAGGAGGGAGGAGAAGGAGAGAGGAAGAGGAGGAGGAGGAGAAGAGAGGAGGAGGAGGAAAGAGGAGGAGGGGGAGGAGGGGGAGGAGGGGAGGAGGAGGAGGAGGAGGAGGAGGAGGAGGAGGAGGAGGAGGAGGACGACGAGGAGGAGGGTAGCAGAAGGACGATGAGGATTTCGGCCCCCTCGCACGCCGCGGAGCTTGCGTCCGCGGCGCGCTGGGACCCGGCAGGCGGCCAAGCGAGCGGCGGACACGCAGCCGCTGCGCACTCGGCGCGCCCTGCCGCACGGAGAGCCCCGAGGACGCCGCTGCGCGCTGGCGCGCCCTGCCACACGGGGAGCCCCGAGGTTTAGGTCGGGCCTGCCCCCCTACAGGGGGATTTTGGACGAATCATAAAAAATATCCCAAAAATTATCAAAACATGCCCAACAAATATTCAAAAAGTAGTCCCCAAACTGTGTTTTGACTATTTTTGGATATTCCCCCTGTAGAGGGACAGGCCTGAGTTAACCCGAGGTTGAAGTAGCATGTCGGACCTGCTCTAAACCAGGAGCGTAACGTAGACGGATCCACCGTTTGTCCGGCCTTGCAGCGCGCCGAACGCGACGGCGGCATTGTCTCCGAACGTGTCGATATACGTAACGGCATCAAGTGTGTCCATGGACGCTCGTGGCTAGAAAGTGAAAGCAGTATTTGACATGCCTAGACATTGGTCTTCTAGACGCAGGTAGACTTTGCCCATCCAACCCCGAGGACGCCGCCGCGCGCTCTTTGGCGGCGAGCCCAGGCGGAAGTGTGAAGGGGCGGGCCTTCTCAAAGCCTCCGACGGCCTTGGGCCTTCTGAGAGGTTCTCTAAGCCCTCCCCGCAGACACAGAAAACTTACCAGAAGGCGCGAGGGTTTCTGAGGAGCCCCGCCGCCTTCTCAGAAGGCACGCCCCCTCAAAGATCATCGTCTCGTTTTCGGGTCATACCTCGGGTCTCCGGCGGCCGTTTGGGACGCTCCGCGCACCCCCCGGAACGCTCTCGGCGAGACGCAGCCGCTGAAACGGATCCCAAGGCTGGAAAGCCGCCAGGAACCGACAGAAACTCGCGAGGGCCTCGAGCCCCGCACTGCGAACGCCGAGCATCCGAAAGCCGAGCCCTGAGCATCCGAAGGCGTCCGAGAACCTCTCGCCTCGGACCCGAAACTTCCCCCGTCCCAGGCGCGCCGTGGAGACTGCGCGCGCCCTGCCGCGCAGAGGGGGTCCCGAGTGTGGGGGTCCCAATAGCAGGCACCGCCACTGCCTCCATGCCTTCTCCCCTGCCTCTGCCCTCCTCGACCGTCGGACTTCGCTGGAGAGGGCACGCGAGAGGGCACGAGGCCCCTCCGAGGGCCATGTCGCCACAGGAATGTGGGAGGCACGGGTCGCGGGACACGGGACACGAGGGTACCCCTGACCTGGCAGGGTCAGCCTACGAATCTGGGCCGACGGTACCCTCCTCTCCCTCTCCCTCTCTCCTGGGAGAGGGAGAGGGAAGTTCCTTTTGTTCTGGAAAAAGCAGGAGGCGGGAGCGGGCAGCGGCAGTACACACTCAACTCGCCTCGCCGACCGTGCCAGCACCTATCACGTTCGTCGCTTGGGGGGTGAGGGAAATTGCGGTGGTGTACGGCGGGTTCGTGTCGTGCCGACTTCGACGTTGGTTGCTGACACCGCGGAGACCGTTCAACCTTGATCGATCGGCCGTTTCCGAATGCCGAGATGGCTGAAAAAATGCACGATGAAAGAAAAACGCCGACGATCGCAATCAAAGAGAGATCGACGTGGAGATCGGCAACAGAGCAGCGCTGCATCTGTGGGACTCATGAGTACATTGGATATCGATTTCAACAACAATGTTTCGGATTACGTGAAGCCTAAAACGAGGTTCGACGCGCTTGTGTAACAGTGCCAAGGCACTTGTATCACAACATTATAAGACGGCATATCCCAGCTAGGCTTAGACATCCTTCCTGGCATGCTCCCCAAGACGGGACACGAAAAATTTGCCGAAACCGTGTACCGTGAATTGCTTGTGACAAAGTACAACCTTGGAAAAGGTTTTGACTCGGTGAAGTTCTGGACAGCACGTGATCCTCAGATGGACCATGAAGAGGCGAAGACCGCGGCGTGGAATTGTATCTCCAATAGCACTCGGACCCCGAACAGCAAAGCATGATGATGGACTGGCACCTGGAAAACGGCTGGTCCCCTGTCACTTCCCCGACGCCGCCGCGGCAGAGCGGGCGTGGATGGCAGGGGAGGAGGACGTACGGCACAGGGAAGGGTCAGCTGGACACAACGAACAACAAGGGCAAAGGCAAGGGCAAGGACAAGACAGGCAAAGGGAAAGGCAACAGCGAGGCAAGAGCAGCAGGCGGCAAAGGCTCGAAGAGAGGCACAGGGGGGACAGCAGAAGCAACCACCAGTGATGTGAAGCGACGTGAGTTGGAGAAGGCTGGATGGAGCGGAGCCCTGGATGTGGACAAGAATGGTGAACTACGACTCTGTAACCTCGCTCTCGTCTAACCTGAACACGCATCCTTGTCGAACGGCTCCCAACCGCGAGGAGCCGTGGCCAGTGGTGCTAAAGTCTACACTGATATCCTCGCGACACACACACACACACACACTCCGCGCCAGCTTGGCGCTGCAGGTGCCCGGACGCGGGCTCCTGCACCCAAACCGGGAGGGATGTACGGCGAAGCGGCGCCCCAACAATCTGCAGCAGCAGCAAAGGCCGAGTGGACACAAGCGGCCCCGAAGCCCACACGCCAGCCCTTGAGCAGGGACCGACCGTCCCGGCATTCCTACAGTCCTGCCACGACATGTTCTTA